TATTACTTTGTTTACTTAAATTTTCAATCACCTGTTTTCTTAATTAATTTTATAGAGAAACAAATAGGAATGAGACAGTTTCAAAACAAATTAATAGCACAGTTTCAATAATTAATACATTGTACATTGTAGTCTTATTAGTGGTTATTCATCATGTAAGATGCAGACATGATATCCTCCCCAACAATATTAGTACAAATCTTTCTTCTCATTGAATTAAGAGAAAGTAATATATGTATCCTATTTTGCTTATACAGATACAAAATGGTCCTATATTTGTATCCTCTTTTTATTTAGTTTTATCAGAGATGGGTATTCCATGGCTGTTTAAATATTGTACATGTGTGTGTTCAACAAAATAATCCAATAGAGTCCAGTAGTCCAGAATAGTAGAGGGTTATCTGTAGGACTGGCAATGTCAGAAGTTCTTGACTTGAGCCTTTTGCAGTTCAGCATATTAATATGGCTTTATTTTAATAACTCATTTTTATACTTTTATGCTGGATGGTTAAGACCAAGATAAATCAAGAACTATATAACAAGAATTGTAAATTTTGTATCTGCCAAGGTCAGTCAACTCCCCTCAGGTTTTACCCGGAAACCCTGTACTACAATTTGTAGATCCATTGTCAGTTTGAGCCATGTGGATGAATCATGGTCATTGCTTAACCCATTTTCTCTCTGGAAGCCTGAGAGAATGTTTTCTCTCCAGGTGACTCTCCTTAGGCACACTCTACATCATTGATCACTTTCTTCTGGGACCCCATAATCTCCTTGGTCAGAAAATTTGGGACATCACTGAGTTACAGAATGTTACAGTATAAGGTCTTTTATGTCCTGAATCCTCACTGACCTTGAAAGGCTAGGGCCAGAATGATGGCTGTACTTGCAGCCATTTTTTTTCCCTAATTTTTAGTCTGCAAACTTAAGTTGCTAAACCTCGAGAAGAGAGAAGCTTTATGATATTCTTACCATATGTCATAGGCACTTGAGCTTAACCTCACTATCTGTATGAATATCTAACATCTTAGACATAACATGCAGCAGGTATTTTCCATCAAGTATTGGTTGATATATTAAGCTTTAAAACCCTACTGAATGTGAAGCAAAAACATGAAAGTACATTTTCAAAAAATAGGAATAAGCAATTTGAATGTCTATCTTTCCGGTCTTCTAAATATGTACTGCTTGTCATGTCATAGAAGTTACTGCTATACTGTCTCTTAAGTAAATGTTTGTTTACAAAAGGGTAATAAATGAAAACAAGAGACAAGAAAAAAAAAACATCATAGAACTGCCCTCCTACATTGCTGTATATGGTAGATTTCTAAATTTCTGGGTAAAAATATGCAATTGTTTATTCAATCATTTCTAATGATGCTAGTTTCATTTACTATTTTGTATTTTCTTTGTGGTGCCAGGTATTGAACTTAGAACCTTGTGCTTGCCAAGCAAGCACTTGTTCTACCGAACTATCTCCCCTGCCCCAAATTTTGTATTCTTTAAAAAATAAAAAATGAGAAAGATCAATCTAATTTATAATGGCTACAAAAATGTGCAGGAAGAAACTTAACCAAAGTGTGGAAGAATTTATTTTTTACTAAAAACTATATAACAATGGCCTAAAAGAATCTATGGAAATTTCCCCAGAAAACTAAAATTAGAGGTTTCATTTGACCTAGCTATTTCCTTTCTTGTTATCTTGCTCAAAGGTTTAGAAAAATATAGCATTGCCATGTTTATAGCAGCACAGTTTGTAATCACAAGATCTTGGAAACTGCCAAAATGTCCATCAACCAATGATGTGGGTAATAGAAATGCTTAAATTAGATTATGATCATGATGAGTCATATTCTCTTAGGGTGTGGACTTTTCTTCTTCCTTCAGATGTTATCAGGATAATTGTGGATGTTATCCTCAACCAATATCTTAAAAGATAGGGATTCATGACCTCTTGAGAAGTCATTCTACCCTAAGTACTAGTTATAGTCTCTCTCATTTTTAATTTTTTAATTTTATTTTATGGAAGTATCTATAGGGTGTTCAGGGTCTCACTGTCCTGAAA